CCATTTTAAATATTTTTTTATTTTAATAAAATGAATAATAAAAATTTAAAATCGAATAAAATCTGTAATATATGGATTTTTTGAATAAAATTTTAAATTTGTCGATAAATTATAGTAGATAATAAATTGCACCACTTTAATTTGAATTATCTCAAATAGGGGGGCCTGGAGGCAGGGTAGGCGACAGGAAAAACTAACTTTTTTTCGCAAACTTCAATTTAAATTCTGTTTGCGCCGAACTTGTTTATTTAATGTAAATATAAACTATTATAAATTTGGTGTGGGTCCCATGTCTAATAACTGAGATATTGGTATACTTAAAATCCACCAGCCGCCACTGCCGTATACCCAAAGCAACGTTGCCAAGTTTGCAACATTCAAAAAATGTATTATTTACTTCATATCTGGAAGAATTGTTTATGCGTAAAATTACCCACCGCGCAAAATTCCCCCACCTTCCCCTATATCTGTAAAAGGTATTTTAACTAAATCATCATCGTCATCTTCTGATGATGAAGCAGCTAAGTCTTTGTATTGAAGAACCTCTAGAGGTTCTTCAATACAAAGACTTAGCTAGCTAGTTCATAATGATGACAAAAAGTGTCGCAGGTAACACAAGAAAGACTTCTTAACCACAGCTTGTTCATTCCATTAGTGATAACTTGATGCACTTTCATAGAACCTTTAAAGCTTAGAGCACAAATATTTTCAATTATTTTTGAAAAATTTTCTATTTTGTCAAAAGACACAGTGTGAAACAGAATTCCAGGGCAATATTCTTTTAAAATGTTTATAAGTGTTGAAAAATTGGGTATGTCTCTAACACAGGGTTGCCAGACGTCCCGATTTAGGCGGGACTGTCCCGATTTTTATCGATGTGTCCCGATTTGTCCCACCTTCCAATTTTCACGTCGAAAATCCCGATTTTTAAATATCTTTCAAAATTGCGAACAAAAAAAGGGAATAATTTAAAAATTTTACACAATATTGGAAAATTACGATCTACGTCTAAAAAACATATTTTAAGTCAATTTTATCACTTGTTATTGTGTGCATCGGGTCCAATCGCAATCATGCTTTAATTTTCACTGGGTAATGGGGGCGAAAATGATATACAAAAGCATATGAAAAGTGTAAAACACAAAAAGAACATTTAAAAGTTAGCAAACACAAATGCACTTTAAAAATGTTTAATCGAACGGGAGATGACGCAAAAAAAGCTAATTGCTGAGTGTAGCTTTATTTGTGGCAGAACAAAACTCACAAAGATTGTGACAAATGTTCACCATCCAATTTCGCTTCAAATAAAGGCAACATAAAAACCTTTCCGTTTGTGCTTAAATATTTTGATAAAAACTTCTGATTCTGAACAGTACCATGATATTGCTCAGTGTTTAGTAATTTAAATAATTACTTTGATGTTGCTTCACAATTTAAAATTTCTATTGATGAAGACATTTTATTTGAGGAGTTTGTCCAACTACCTACTTTTGTTAAAATTTTAAAACACGGAAGATGTCGATATAATGTGGACTCATTTTTTAAAAGAGCATCCAACTGCAATTAATTTTTGTATACCGAAAGAATGAGAATTGAAAATGAGAATTGAAAAAAAATGGGTCAAGCTTAAACACATTAATGTGTTTAACCCATTTTTTTTCTAATTAGAAGCTGAACTGATGATCAAAACTAATAATAATGTAAAGAATTTGTTAATTATTTAAAAAGCAATGGAAAAGAAATTCTTGAAAAAAATCCATCATGTGAAAAATACATTTAAATAATATTTTTTTATAATTTTATAATTTAAAAATTATATATCTTTAGAATTTTTTTTCGAGGCAATTTCGAAATTTTCGAAATTAAAACATTTTTTTTAACAGAGATTTGCGTGTCCCGCTTTTTCATTTGCAAAATCTGGCAACCCTGCTCTAACAGCGCACCTTTCCCATGCCCAGCTTCCTGGTAGTTCGTTTAATCTTGGGAAAACATTCTGATAATGTGCAAAGCTCTTGGGTTTAGAATCATTAGCATACACAGCCATAGTGCTGTCTGGCAACGCCAAAATGGAAAGACTGCGTTTCCTCAGCATACTTCAATCCATAATTCTCACTGAAATCGCAGTGAATTATGATTTCAGAAGGTTTAAGCTCTTGTTTTAATGTAGAGTGGATGTTATGGTGATCGATTATTCTTGCCTGATGTCCCATAAAAAGTTCAACTTTTTTTGAAAAAATATAAACTTCTGTGGCTTTATTTTTTTGGGGCTGCTTCGCAATCTTTTTAGATTGTTTCATTTGCTTTCTTTTCTTATCGAAGTTATTTTCCTTTACACTTATTGAAAGTATGAAATAAATCTGGTTTGGTCATATTCTTTATACAATGGCTGTGATCACAGGACTCGAGTCCTTGCATGTTCCAGTAAAAGACAAGCCTCACTTGATCTGAGCAACACATATCTCTATTTACATCACCCACCTTTTTTCCAAAAATTATATCATTCTGGTAAATACCATGAGCCAGGAGATTCATATTTGCGTGAGTTACACATTTGCATGTGTCTCTATCAGTTACTTTCATTTGCGTAATCCAAAATGGACGTGCACGGCAAAAAAACGTAACTTAGTTTTATATTGGGGTTGAGGCGAATAAATTCTCTATACAAATTCTTTAATGTATTACATAAAAACCTTTTTTGTTTTACAGCTTTGTTTTTGGTGACACAATTCTTTTTTCCAGGTCATACTCTGCTGTTTATTTCAGATTCTTAAAAGGCCTGAATTCTGCTTCTTAAAAGGTCTGCGACTTTCTTTTTAGTGCCAACTTTTCTCTCAAACGTAGGTGTTTTTCTATACTTTAAAAACGTTGATTATGAGGCGCCGTTTGTGCCATAATTATGATTTATAAAATATATATTAATTTGTAAAAATATAAATATTTTGTTTAAAATATAAATAATTAGGTGATAATGAAGTTTTCATGTTGTACTTCTTTATTACCCTGGCGAAAATAAAGCGTGCATAAAAAGTGTGCAATAAGTGTGTTTTTGGAGTGCAAGTCATTAAAACAATGTGCATACACGCTACTTTGTGGTAATTTCACACTTTTTTAAATAATTAGGTTATTTCACTCTTTATGTACATTGACATCATGCTTTTTATTTGTCATATGTCACGCTTATATTACATTATAATAATGATTATATATTAGCACATTGTTTGCACAGTGCATTGTTTAAAGACATTTTGCAAAGCTTAAGTCTATCTTACGCATGTCACATTTTATACACACGCTTTAATATATCTCATTTATGACGCTTATATTATAGCACATTGTACAGTTTTAGCGATCACTCAACAGTTTAAGCACATTTTAGATATATCTCGCTTGAGTTGGGGTACAACATTTATTTAGAGAGGTAGATTCCATCTTATGTATCGCTTCTCGGCTTATTGCTAAGATCAAAGCAATCCCCTTCATGGAGTTGACAGTGCAGGTATTTTTCTTAATAAAATACAGTATGTAGGACCTACATTGTGGGTATATTTTTTTTTAATTTAAAAAAAAAAAATATTTATTTGATTAATATTATTATAAGGATATTTATATTTCAATTATGTGTAAATTTAAAAGACTTTATAGGTCACCAAAAAGAATCTGTTTTTGTAATAGCACACAGGTGGCAAGAAACAGTGTGCAAACAATGTGAAAAATCAAAAGGAGTTCCCTTTAGAACATTGTCCAGTGATTATTCACACTTTTAAATTGTTGGTTTTGCACATTGTTTTATGTTCCATTTCCCACCCTCCGCACATCATTTTTTTAAAAGATTGCACATTGTTCTCAAATAATTTTGCACATTTCATTTTCGCCAGGGTACTCTGCCGTTGAAGTATTTTTTAAACAAGCGTTTGGTCTTTTCAGTTTTTAATTCTGTGTAGGATTCAGCTAACTGCTTTTGAACCACTTCATTGAAAATTATTCTCTTTAAAAAAAATACACGGGAATTACAATTTGTTCATTTTATTAAATTTTTTTACCCTTAAAACAAAATACAGGCTTTATTTATTTTTGAATAGCATTAATTAGCAATAATTTCGATACTTTTTCACAATAGAAATATTAATTATTAAAATATTTTTACTTACCATGGGAATTACAGCCAACAGGTTACAGCACGCAAAAAAACGATTTCTGGTGGTGGGGGTGGATAAAAAGAGCCGATAAAAAGAGCCGTAATAATGACACGGGAATTACCGATTTATTGAGAGACAATGATTATAAATATTTATAGCCTTTTTTTTGTTAAAAAACTTAGTTTCACCTTTTTTTTAATTACTAGATATTACATTTATATTTTTTGTGCAATTGTAGTCCTACACTGTATAATTAAATTACTGAACACCTGACATGACAGGGGAATTACAAAACCATATTTCTTTTCCTAATAAAAAAAATAAACACTTTTTAAAAAAACTAACATTGCCGTTCCAAATAACTTTTTAATCTAAAGGTAAAAGATCTATAATATATTATTGAACATCTAATTAACAAATTTGATTTTTAGAGGCCTGGGACTAGCAGTTACTCAGTTTATGAATATTCACCCATTTGTAAAAAAGAGGTTTCGATAGGAATACAGTTTGTCTACCAACATTGTGAAAGGGACAAACTATATTACTATTATTAAAAAAAACGTTCAAATCGGACAATAGGTTTTGAAAAAAAATTACTTAAAACTTTTGGTTATTTTTTGGTGGTGCGTTAATTTCTTAGATAAGTTTAATTTAATTGATAACTATAATGCCATTATTATCAATTAAATTAAACAAATATGCCAGGCCCTGGGCACAATTTCGCGCGTTTACCGGTCTTGCTCAACTTTTTTATAATTTTTAGGAATAATATCAATAAAACTCAATTGATTACATAGAAAATATGTACTTATATCTAATGACACATAGGAACATACATATAATATTTACAATAAGTAACATGTATTATTGTGGAAGTTGAATTTTGTCAAACTCACAACTAAATGGCAACAGTGGTTCTTCTAATTTACACTCTATACTATCTTCCACTATTTCAATTTCGGTTTTAATGTTCGCAGGTTCAACAACTGCTTTAGCCCTTTTCCTCAAAATTTTCGTCTTATCGTTCATGTTAAAACAATTGTAACGGCCTTTTTCTTTCTTCTTGGTTTTATTGCATTCTGCTAATTTTTTTGGTGTTTTTATTTCTGCGATTTTCTGCGCTTCCCGGCTACAACTCCTAACCCAAGATTGCACCATGGATTCCCCCAAACCTAGGGACCCCAAGAACATTTTTTTGCACACGGGCAGCTTTTGTTCGTCTTTGATTAAGTGGTATATGTACGTTCCGGATCTTCTGGAAACGTTCGAAACTCGTACACGTTTTTTCGGGATTAAGTCTATTAAAGAGGTAACGTAACTTTTTTTTTCGTCCCACGTAAAGTTCCAGAATTCGTGGAAAACTTTTTGCAGTTCTTTTTTGCTGAACGACGCGCAGTGTTTGCGGATGGTGGCGCAGAAACTCGAGTTGCAAAATTTTTGGGTTCTGGGCGGTCTTATTTGGTTTTGTATTATTTTTCCGTCCTCATCTCTCGAGTAACCCAAGTAAGGTAACCCTTTCATTCTTTTTATGCGACTTACGTCTCTTGGCTTGACTGGGCTCGAGTCTGGAGGAGGCTTAACTCTGCTTTTGATCGAATCTAAGTTGTGTGTTTCTTCCACCTCAATTTTTATTGGTTTTGGACCGTCAACCTCAACCTCTGGCACTGTTAAAACCACATTACTTTTAACCCAGCTCTGCACCATATTTTCACCTAGACCCAACGACCCCAGGAACATGTTTTTGCACACAGGTAATCGAACTTTCCCCATTTCCAGGTAATAATTGAAAGTACCCAATCTCCTTGATGGCCCTTTCAGCCTCGCGCTCTTCTTGGGCACGTAATCCACTAAACCCAGCACGTACTCCCTCTTCTCCTCCCAACTCAACTCCCAAAAATCGTCGAACATCTTTTCCAGATCTTCCTTGGGGAATACCAGGCATTTCTTGCTTTTTAGCGCACAGTTAGCCGAGTTGCATGCCCTTTGGCTGCGCGAGGGGCGCTCCTGATTGTGGGAGACTCGACCGTTTTTTGTTCTCACGTAGCCTACGTAGGAGTAGCCTTTCATGCGGTTCTCCTGCGCTTGCTTTCTTTTGTTTATCAGGTGACGGGTTCTTTTGTTTTTTTTCGGAGGCGATTCTTCGTTGTTTTCTGTTTTGATGTTTGTTTTTATGGCTTGTTCCAACTCATCATATTCATCGGTTGTGTATGCGTCCAATATTTCATTTTTGATATTTGCAATTGCGGTTGGGTTTTCCTCCATTTTTGGGGGTTCCAAAATAACCATTTTACATTATTTATGTTTGTTTTTCATTTCCTAAAACAAAGTAAACAAATATTTTTTAACTGCATAACAATCCTGTCCTTATTTTAGATATTTTTGATAGGTAAATAAGTCAGCAAATAAAACAAAACAACAAACATGTCAATATTTACGGAAAACCCGCTAAAACAGAATTTTTATTGCTTTAAAACAAAAACAAAATTTTATAAAAACCGTGTAAAAAATCGATCAAATATTTCGACTGCATAAAAATCCTGTCCTTATTCCAGTGATTTGCGTTAGGTAAATAAATCAGCAAATAAAACAAAATAACAAACCTGTCAATATTTACGGAAAACCCGCTTAAAAAAGTATTTTTAATATTTGAAAACAAAAACAAAATTTTATAAAAACCGTGTAAAAAATCGATCAAATTTTTCGACTGCATAAAAATCCTGATAGGTAAATAAATCAGCAAATAAAACAAAACAACAAACCTGTCAATATTTACGGAAAACCCGCTTAGAACAGGAATTTTATTGTTTGAAAACAAAAAAAAATAAAAAACCTCAAAAAATATCGATCAATTTATTTGACCTTATTCCAGCGTTTTTCGATAGGTAAATAAATCAGCAAATAAAAACAAAACAACAAACCTGTCAATATTTACGGAAAACCCGATAAAACAGAATTTTTATTGTTTTAAGACAAAAACAAAATTTTATAAAAAACCGTGTAAAAAATCGATTTTTCGACTGCATAAATATCCGGTCCTCAATCCGGCGATTTGCGTTAGGTAATAAAACAAAACAACAAACCTATCAATATTTACTGAAAACCCGCTTAGAACAGGATTTTTATTGTTTGAAAACCAAAACAAAATTTTATAAAAACCTTGTAAAATATCGATCAATTTATTTGACTGCATACAAATCCTGTCCTTATTCCAGCGTTTTGCGTGAGGTAAATAAATCAGCAAATAAAACAAAATAACAAATCTGTCAATATTTACGGAAAACCCGCAAAGAACAAGATTTTTATTGTCTGAAAACAAAAACAAAATTTTATAAAAACCATGTAAAAAATCGATCAAATTTTTTGACTGCATACAAATCCTGTCCTTATTCCAGCGTTTTCGTTAGGTAAATAAATCAGCAAATAAAACAAAACAATAAATCTGTCAATATTTAAAGAAAAAATCCGCCAAGAACAAGATTTTTATTGTTTGCAAACAAAAACAAAATTTTATAAAAACTACAAAAAATCTATATATTTTTTGAATGCATAATAATCCTAGCGATTTGCGATAGGTAAAAAAAATCAGCAAATAAAACAAAACAACAAACCTGTCAATAATCACGGAAAGACCGCTAAAACACGATTATTATTATTGTGTTTTAACATAAAAAACTTTTATTTTATGTTCTGTATTTTAACAATAAATCCGCGAAACCCTGTTGAAAACACTCAAAATATACAGACAACAAAACCCCGTTAAAGTGGGGTTAGGGCAACTACTTGTAAGTGTCGTTCCGAGGATTTTTATTTGTACCTTTTACATTGAATTATTTATTTATATCTTATTAAATCGTTGATTGAACTATATAGTATTTTTATATTAAACTATATTATGTATAGTTATAAATTAATGATTTTTGTTATGCAATTCTAAGAATATATGAAAATAACAACCTCATTAAAAAGTTTACCAGAATTATAATGCCTTGATAAACTTTTGAACCGAAATAAAAAATATTTAGGTTTCGATCAACAATAAAAAAAGCACACCCATTTTGAGAAGAATAATATTTGTAAATCTTGCAAAACAATTTTAATTTACATTATATAAATTACATATATAATATATTATAATACAGATTAAATTTGTAATTAATACGTAGCTAGATAATAATAAATTACGGAAAAGCCTTGATAGTTTGAAACAATTATAATTTATAATTATAAAATAAAAAACAAGTTTATTTAAAATTTTATTAAAAAAATACTTACATAATAAAATTGGGTATCATTTAATGTAAATGATTGTATTAGAGTTGTAAAATACTTTTAAAAATAAAATACTAGTTACGCTGTTATTTCCCTTTCTTTCTCCTTCTCCCCATTGCTTTTCAGCGGTTGCATTTCCTTGGAATTTCCCTCATCGCAGTCCACCGTGTTCCACTTCATCGTTTTCCCTGTACCGAAAATAAGATAGAAAATACCCCCGCTTAGGTACGTAGCAAATAAAATCCAGAACACCCCTTTCCACGTGTTGAAGCTGCTCTCTTTTTCCGTCAAAACCGACACTATCTTCGTGGATAGCCAGCCCCCGAAGGAGGATAAAGTGTTGGCGAGGCCGAATATCGTGCCGGAGAAATTCGGGGCTATGTCCAGACCGTTCGACAGGTACCCGGCTGTCACAGCTCCGTTGAAAAACAAGGACGCGGTGAAGACTGTCACGGAAAGTGCCGGGTTTACCCCCCATATAGCTTGCACAACCATGAGAATTCCGGGGATGAAGCACGCGAATGATGTGAACAGTTTTCGGGTGGCTGTGGTGGACAGTTTCTTCGACTGGCGAAGCTTGTCAGCTACGTAGCTGGCTATGACCGCCATTATGTATTTTCCTAAATAAAAATAATGTTACAATTAAATATTGTAATTAAGTAATAATTATAATTATTTCATCACTTGTGGGTTATTCTTATGGAAACTTTATGTTATATCTATCTATCTAAGCAGGGCCGGCTTAAGGCAATTGAGCGCCTTAGGCACTTAAAAATTTGGCGCCTATTATTACATACTACACTTAAGGGTAGGGTTGCCAACCGTCCTATATTCAATAGGACAACCTTATATTTCACGCTTGTGTCCTATATTGTTCTATATGTCCTATATTGTCCTATATTTCATCAATTTGTCCTATATGTCCTATATCTCAAAAACTAGATTTGTAGAATTTAGGTATGCGTTTTTGAATACGCTTAAGAAAATTAAATAAAAATAAAAAACACACTTTTGAAAAAATCCGATAGCTATGAAAATAGAGTATACAAAAGCATTTTAAAACCATTAACATGTAGTGGTCAATTAATTTGGGCCACAAAATTCTCTAATTAAAACGTTACGTTAAAGCATTTTGAGGGTCAAATTCGTTGACCACGATATTTGAATGTTTTAAAATGATTTTTTGTTCTCAACTCTATTTCGCCAACTTAGTCGCTTGATTTCCACAGCGACGATATTATACGGGTGTCCGGAAAAAGCCCCACCTACGCCATACGACACTCTAGGGTGTTTATTTTAAGTATAAAAAACTACTTTTTTCCGACGAGTAGTTTTCGATTTATTAGGCATTTAAGTTTAAAAAACTCGACAACGCTGTTTTCCTAAGCCCATTTATGAGACATATAAAGGTGGTTATGGAAACAAAATTAATGCATTTACAGAGAGCTGAAATAATTTTTGAAGCAAACATCAGAAAATACATTTTTCAATCGTCAATTATCGACGATTGAAAAGTGTATTTTCTGATGTTTGCTTCAAAAAATGTATCCTAACTTTGTTTTGATTTATTATAAATAAGCCTCAAGTGGTTATAATATTTTGGTTGGTTAAAATATAGTTTTCGCAAGTTTTTTTTTTGTTTTTATAGAATTATATTAAAAATTAAGCACATATTTTAATATAATTCTAGAATACGATTTGGAGTTAAAATTTCATCGATTTAGTCGCCGCGGCTAATGTTTTCCGTTCCGACAAACCGATTTTTGACATTTGGAATTAATGACGCCAACGGAGAACATTCGCCGCGGCGACTATATGTATAAATAAACCTATTATTTATAACTAAAAAGTTAAAGAATATACCCCTTATTATAAATAATTTTTAACTTTTTCTTTTTGACACGCGTTAACAAAATTGTTTTTTACCCTTTTATATAAATAAACAATCTTAAAATATTTATAATTTTTAAACCCTCATAACTAAAAAACGAAAAAAAAATTAAATTTATTTTATACCCTCCTACAGCGTGATATGGCGTAGATCCGCCCTGTATATTTTTATGCCTTATAAATTATTTTATTTATTTGTTTTATGTTATTATATATTATGTTATTATATATGTTTATATTATTATTTTATGTTTTTGACTAAATAGTCTATTGTTTTTTTATAAAGAAATGAAATATGCTGTATTTTTAATTTATTAAATATATAAATATTTGTGTACCTTACTTGTTACTTGGAATCAAAATAAAAATATAATTGAAAAATATTAGAAAAAAATTGAAAAAATAAACGCTTAGGTTAAGTACTCTTTTAAGTACATTCTAAATTTTAATCTATGGGCTGTTTGCTGCCTAACCTAAATCGGACCAAGACATCCGACGTCCTATATTTTTATTTACAATAGTTGGTAACCCTACTTAAGGGGCCCTAGGCAAATAAATATAGTTACGTATTATATCACCTCCAACACTGAGAAAAAAGGTAAATTCGAACAAATGCATTTAATTATAATAAAATTATTATTAGGGTAGGTTCAGTACCTACCCTAATAATAATTTAGCAGAGTCTCTGCTGCAGAGATATAAAATTTAAAAATGCATAGGTATTATGCAAGTATAATTTTAGTTTTTACTAAAAACTTTTTAGGGTCCTAAAGTTTTATTAAAGATGTAGGTACTAAAATAGTAAGTATTTAAAAAAATGTAAAACAACTTTAATTCCCACAATTTACACTATCGAAGACAAACAGCTATATAACATAACTACCTTAGGTAGTCAGGGCCGGCTTAAGGCAATTGAGCGCCTTAGGCACTTAAAAATTTGGCGCCTATTATTACATACTACACTTAAGGGGCCCTAGGAAAATAAATATAGTTACGTATTATATCACCTCCAACACTGAGAAAAAAGGTAAATTCGAACAAATGCATTTAATTATAATAAAATTATTATTAGGGTAGGTTCAGTACCTACCCTAATAATAATTTAGCAGAGTCTCTGCTGCAGAGATATAAAATTTAAAAATGCATATTATGCAAGTATAATTTTAGTTTTTACTAAAAACTTTTTAGGGTCCTAAAGTTTTATTAAAGATGTACTAAAATAGTAAGTATTTAAAAAAATGTAAAACAACTTTAATTCCCTAAATTTCTTTGTAAGATGTAGGTTTACTAAATGTTTAATATTAACATTTCATAAATAGGTAGGTACCTACCTTAAAACATATAGCAAATTTACACTATCGAAGACAAACAGCTATCTAACTACTGATTAATTTCATCTGAAATAAATTTGTGTAGGGCATAAAAAAATAAGCGAATTTCTTTCGGAACGCGCTTCAGTGCGGCACACGCTTAAAGAGCGGCACGCCTTTGTCGGCTTGACACCGCGTTATTACAAAGGAAGCCGCATTTTTTAAAAATGATTATTTGGTACTCTACCGTACCTACTCATAATTGTATATTGTTTATTTGTTTCATATTTGTAAAACCATTTTTTAAATTTTTTAAGTTGGTTGGGGACAAGGCGCCTATTTCTTCTTGGCGCCTAAGGCAGTTGCCTATACTGCCTAATGGTTAATATGGCCCTGTAGGTAGTCTACCTAACTACTGATTAATTTCATCTGAAATAAATTTGTGTAGGGCATAAAAACAGAAGCGAATTTCTTTCGGAACGCGCTTCAGTGCGGCACACGCTTAAAGAGCGGCACGCCTTTGTCGGCTTGACACCGCGTTATTACAAAGGAAGCCGCATTTTTTAAAAATGATTATTTGGTACTCTACCGTACCTACTCATAATTGTATATTGTTTATTTGTTTCATATTTGTAAAACCATTTTTTAAATTTTTTAAGTTGGTTGGGGACAAGGCGCCTATTTCTTCTTGGCGCCTAAGGCAATTGCCTATACTGCCTAATGGTTAATATGGCCCTGTATCTAAGTGGATTATCAACATATGCAATATTGTACACATGTCATTCATAATTGGGTTTCGGAATATTCTACATGAATGTTTATTAGCCTTTGGGTCACTTCCTATATCTCGCTATAGCGTATACAATTACAGTATATAAGTATAAGATTAGATCTCAATTTTGTTGTGGTTGTGATAACTTATTTTATATATTTATTTATATCTAAAAAAAGCATTTCTTGGTAATCCAATTGCCAAAACATTAAACAAATATATTTATGTTTTTTTGTTAACATTACCGAATATTTATCATGCACAACGCGTAGTTTAGAATTGTTGACCCAATAACCCTGGTCAGCAGTACGTCATTTGATTCTACAGCGGAGTAGGTATATGAAAACAATGTAAAGGAGACATTTTTTATAATAGCTTTACATTGATAAACTTTCCAAAGTTGGTTAACACTTAAGTGTCATTATTTGCAATTTTAATGCAATTTTCTAATTAAACACAGATGATGACCTTTGTATCAATGAAACACGATGGAAAATGCAAATTTCTATCAACAGAGGTCAGGTTTTATTATTTTCACGTCTCATGCTAATTAGTCCAGTCAATTTATATCTTATTATTATTCAGTAATTACGTCAATAATTGACGAAATTAATCGAAAAAAAATAAAGATTTTCTTTGAAAAATAGGATTTTATGTATCAAGTTTGATAAGCGAATTTACGAATTTAATTTAGGCACGAGCGAGCTTGCGAGCGAGTGCTTAATTTAATGAGTGTATGAGTGAGTATATAAAATAACTTCAAAACATAATTACGTCAAGAAAATATTTTATCTTTTGATTTTTTTTATTACTATAATAGCAAAATATTATCACAAAGTATTATAAATTCTTACACGGGAAATGTTAAAGGAACAAAAAGTGACAGCTGTATTTATTGGAATTCCCGTTAGAATTTCTTACTTGGGAATCTACCGGCCGGCGTTAAAATCTTAAATTTTTCTGTGTAAATCAAAATTTATCCCTTGAAATCAGACCGCACTGATGGTTGTTGTTCGGGCTTTGGGGGACGCCTCGGGTTAGACTTCCAAGCTAGGGTGTTTCAACGGGTATTGTCATTTTATTTTATTTTTATTCTCTTTTCCGTCCTTGCATTATCAAACATGTAATGTACCTATCTATAGTATAGAAACTAGCTTAAGCTTTTAAAACATGACGAAATGTGAAATGAATATCTACTACTACTACTTTTATATTTTTATTTTTTATTGTTTGTACAATTTTTTGTTGTATTGTTGTGAGAGGATGAATCCGTATAGAGTGTTAACGTGCACTCTCTGGATTTTTCAAAATAAACGTATTTTCTTTCTTTCTTAAAATAGACTAACAATCGATATAGAAGGTTTATTTTCAAATTTCTTGTACATTTGCTTTAATATTTTATAAAAAATTGAGTTTTAACGCCATTTGGAACTTTCCTAAGCGAAATCAATTGGTTTAGCGTATATTAGCAAAATTGTAAAATTTTAAATTTAACCCTATAAAAAAATTAAACTTTCCAACAGTACAAAAAAGTAGCTGTCCCACTTGCAATAATATTCACTACTTAATGCTATTTAAACATCTTAGAGTAAAATAACATTCTCCTTTTTTTATATAGTTGAGAATATATTCCAAATATTAGTGGTTAAAATAACCCCTAAGGTTTGTCCCTTAACTTTGGTCCCCTAGGTCACGTCTCCTGGATCACAGCTTTTATAAATGGCCTTTTGAATTGAGCGCACATTTTTTAGTGCTGCCCCCTTGTGGCAATGTATTTGGTAACGAATTTTAGTAGGAAATGATGTTTTGAACTATCTTGAAGCCACAACACGTTAACGCGTTACCAGTTGGACTTTTTTTGATTCTCAAAAGTAAGTAGGTATCCTAGTAATGGTTTTAAGTGCAAAAATACAAATTTTTATCTTTAAAACAGTAAAGAGGTTATGTTCTAAAAACATAATTTTTTTTCCCTGGGTCACACGTCTCCTGGATTACATATTGTGTGACCCAGGGAAAAGTTATGTGACAATTCCAAAGAAATAAATTATAATATAGTTTTGAAATAATAATGAACTTATAGAAAAGTTTTAAAAACATTTTTTTTCACATTTTCTGTTTATGACAATACGTAGCCAATTTAAAATAATGTCCTCCACCTTTTTAATAGTAGATAATAGTGTTTTCGCGGTGCTAATCCCGAACTAGTTCGGACATCCTAGGCATGCGCATTTTAATATTTGTCATGCGCACTTTACATTTTGAACCGCAAATTTTAAAAAGCGCATGCCTAGGATGTCCGGAATTAGTTCGGGATTAGCTCCGCGAAAATAGCTAATTTTCCTAGTCAAAATATTTTGCCTCAAAGAAGCTGGAAATTTTTTTTTGATAGTTCAACGAAACAACGTTTATATTGACTTTTTATTATTGTTTTAATAATATTACTAGTAACAAAAACTTTTTATTAATTTATTCCTCGTTAAATTGGATAAGCTGGCCCCAGATAAAAAATCGAGAAAAAACGTTTTTAATACGCATTACAAAAATGTCTTAAACCTTCTTTTTTTAATGGATTTTTTAAATACAGAAAATATACTTATTAAAAATACTTATGTATGTATGAAAGTTAGTATTATAGAACATAGTTTTTGCTTTTACTTAGTTTTGTAAATGCTCAACATTTTTTTATAAATAATAAATTAATATACCTACTTTTTTTAAACAAATCCTAGTGTCAGTAAAACCTTAAAAGGATTATTACCAAGCAAAAAAATATATTTTCAAAATGATTAAGCATTTTTATATACATATATTTATATAAGTTTTTTTAATATGTTAGTAAATTTGTGACCCAGGGGACCATTTCTTTTCTTTTTTCTCTTTTAAGGGCTTATTTAAAAAAATCCAACTGCCCACTTTTAGGTGTTAAATAACACCCCTAAATAAACAAAATTTGGAAAAAACAGGTTAGTTTTTACTTTTTCTTCTTTAAATGTACATGAATTTTGAAAATGACCCAGAAGCAGTTTTTCTCAGTAAAAGAGAATGTTTTATGGGCACTGTACGCAACATTTGGCACAAAAATGTTGTTGTTGCGCAAGTTATACAGAGGGGTTAACGTTAACCCCTCTGTATAACTTGCGCAACAACAACATTTTTGTGCCAAATGTTGCGTACAGTGCCCATAAAAATAATTATTTATGTATTCAAAATCAACTTACCCAAATAAGGTAAACTGGACAGCAAACCATTACTTTTGATATTAAAATGGAGCACATCCTTCATGTAACTGGGCAGCTGATTGACCACGGTAAAATACCCAAAAACCGAACACCCATGTGTAATAATAATAGCCCAGACGGGCATCGACGTGAAAATCTGACCCCATGGTACTTTGGTCGGCTTAACTTGTTTCTTGGACTCCCCTTCCGCGATTTTACTTTCGATGGCTTCCCTTTCTTCAGCTGTAATCCTGGGGTGCTCAGCGGGGGAGTCGTAGACCAAGAAGAACCACAGAATGGACCACACCAAACCTATGGTGCCAGTGACGTAGAACACGCTAGCCCAGCCTACTGTGGAGATCAAAAACCCACATGCTGGTAGAGTAAGGGCTGCTCCCAGAGAAGACGCCATCATGTTGGCTATGAAGTTCGACCGTTCCATCGGAGGTATCCACTTGGCCGCCATTGGGGGGATAGCCGGCCACGTGGCGCCCAAGAAGAAGCCCACCACAGCCCTGGATATCAGGATCACGTAGTAGTTCATGTAGCAGAAAGCAGGCGTCAGGATCGTCAACACGCTCGCCATTAGCATCCCCCACCCGAAGATCTTCTTGGCGCCGACTATTTCCGCCATTCTACCGCCAGGTAGCTCTGTCAGCACGTAACCCCAAAAGAAGCTCCCCAAAATGGCGTTCTTTTGGTCGGCGGTCCAGTCAAATCGAGTTTCCTCAAGTAAAACTGACTTCGTCGTCGTCGTGTTCGAGTGCGTGACGTTTTGGTTGGTTGAGTTTGCCTGTGATGCCGTAAAGTTCGGGTTTATCATGTCGACGATTGCTATGGTTAAATTTACGCGTAACATGTAGTTGAACATGAAGCCCAGGATTACCATTATGTTGAGGACTTTCCGACATGTTATGAAATCTGGAACAGATGTTTATATGAAATTATTAATTTTATAAAAATACAAACAGTAAGTACTTTTTTGTATTTTTTTTTTTTAATTTTTATTGTGAATAACAAAAGACCCTAAAAAATTCAATCAAAGTGAAAAATGCGATTTTTATGGCCTTGCTTAAATTTTTAATTCAAATTTGATATTTTTTTCGGAAAGCTGAGAAATTTTTCCCGAGGCGGGACTTAACTTCGATCCCGACTGACGTCACACAATGTAAATCCGTTTTTATTCCCCGAGCGTTTAAAATTGATTAAGCTGGATGGCTCAGATGGTAGGGCGGTCGCTTGGCATGCCAGAGGTACCGGATACGATTCTACTAGAAGTTGTCAAACTTTTTTTATTTTATAAATTTGTTATTTCTTTGTTAAAAAGTGTTGGGTAGGGTTGGGTTGGTTGGTTTGTTTTAGTTTTATCGTAACATAAAAAATCTTAAAATTATGACGCACTCGGGACGGGAGAGTATAAAAAACATACATAAAGTTCATTTTTTTTATCTGGACTTCGGCAACGTTGTAAATTTGGTTGGTAAATACGGAACCAAAATTGGTTGCATTGATTAAAATAAACTAAACTAGTTATAAACGTAATTATAATGTAATTGTGGTTATGTTTAAATTATTGTAGGTTACATTGAACGCAATTAATTTGGCTTTGGTGGTGCCTAGATGAGTAAAATCCTAAAAAAAAATTAGTTAAATATAGGTGACTACGGCCCAGGAGAGACAAATTATTCCTAGCGGATAATAAACTTCGCTTTGAAAAGAATTTAAAAGAAATTAAAATTTTATGTGAACATGTTGTCAAATCATCGGACTCCAATGGTAAATGGGTATTTTGTTAAACCCACTGGACATTAAATATTATACTTGTAGTGGCTTAATAATAATTATAATGTATATTGTCCAGGACTATTAATAATCAGTAACTTGCAAATTGAAAGAAGAAAAGTTTCGTGATTATTGCTTGTCTTTTTCAAACCGAATGGATGCTATGTTCAAAGACAGGAAAATTAACCCTACTACATTTTTCGCAAAAAGGTTGAACCTAACGGCAAATAATTTTTATTTTTTGTTTTTATATTTTCTCCTTATTTTTTAAAATTTCAAAAATTTTGATTTGCAGATGCTTATTTAAAAGTAATGTGGGAATTAATATTTGTAAAACCAAAAACTTTATTTTTTTACTCCTAACGCCTTATGGACGATGTACTTTTTCTGCCATTGAGGCATTTGGCATAACTTCATCGAAATTAAGTTTTGCCCTTAAAAGTTCTTTTAGAAACTGATAGGTATTATTTTTGGCATAGTAACTGTCTTTTTATATCGATATAATATAATAATAATAACAAGTAAATTTTCAATAATTAATATTACTGTCAAATTGAAAGTGTCAGAGTAGGTATTTAATTAAGGTCTTCAGCAGAAGTACCATTTTTTAAATACTAAAAATAATAAATCAAACTGTCAGAAGCTACCAACTTAATAAAAAAACACGAGTATGTTTCTACCAAAATGTCATTGAAACTAGGAATTGTTTACAAAAAAAATAGTAGGTACCCACCATTTATATTTTTATAAAACATTATTTACATAAAAAAAAATTCGTTAAATTCAAAAATCATTTTAATGAAAGTACTGAATTTTAAGAGCTTAAATCTTCAGTGATTGGTTATTTTGACGTAGAAAATAACCCTACAAAATTTAAAAAAAAACAGAGGGGTCACAGCCCAAAAAATTGTTATTTGGTGGAATAATAATATATACTATAGTAGACTTTACTGAGTATAATTTTTGTAGGTACCCACCATTTATATTTTTATAAAACATTATTTACATAAAAAAAAATTCGTTAAATTCAAAAATCATTTTAATGAAAGTACTGAATTTTAAGAGCTTAAATCTTCAGTGATTGGTTATTTTGACGTAGAAAATAACCCTACAAAATTTAAAAAAAAACAGAGGGGTCACAGCCCAAAAAATTGTTATTTGGTGGAATAATAATATATACTATAGTATATATATAGTAGACTTTACTGAGTATAATTTTATAAAAGCTTTTAGTTACATCTATATTGAAACACTAGATTCTTGCCTTTATACAGTGGCGGACTAAACCTGTCGGGGGGCCGGGCGGTAAAATAAAATGGGGCCCCTAGTCTGCTTATAAAATAATGTGATTGTTTTGTAAATATTAATGTTTTGTTATTTTAAATTTGTTAGTAGATCCTCTTAGCAAGTCCTTTGCAACTCTCTTAATGTAAACAGCTGTTACATCCCTAGGGATATGAAAATTGACAACCTTTTTCAGCAAACTTATAAGTATACTTATATTTGAACTTGTTAATAATTTAAATTTTAAAAATCAAGGGGCCCACTCAATGCCGTCTAAGATTAACCATTATTTAATGTAATTATAACCTATTTCTATTTCGTGATGGATTGCAGCTAGGGGCTCCCTATATACCTATGCTAGGGTTTTAGAGGGTCGAAAAAAAAAACAAAAAAATTTGGAAAAAAACAAACCTTAAAAAAACTGGGAAAAATTGAATTTTTTTGAATTTTTTTTTGAAAAATATATACACACATAATATGTATTACATATACATACAAAAATAAATATATATGTAGGTACATTTGAAAAAAGTAGCAATTAACAATTAATTTAATTTAAAAAATATAAAACTAAACATTAAATTAAATTAAATTGATTTAAGAAATTGATATTATGATCATATTCATCGTCGGAAATTCACTTTTTTCTCGATTTCAGTGTACGGATAGTACCTACATATCTGTAAAAATTTGTAAATTTAAAAAAAAATTCGTATTACTCTTTAAATAATTATTTTTATTATTTATTATAACCAAACTGTATATAAACTGTATCGGGTCTTTAATAAAATCTTTACTCGATAAAGATACCCTATATTCTTTTGGTACAGCGACGATACGGGTTTGAATACATTCTGGGTTTAGATAAAATAAAGGTAGAATTTAACGATTTGCTATCGCCACGATACATTTTGGATTTAGATTGAATAAAGTTCAATTTATCGAATCGTTATAGCACCAATACAGACGGACTATAGATTTGCTGTACAGGGTACATATTTAAATTGACATTATATAGAAAATTTCTCTGAATGTTACCTGCATTAAACATTTACCCTTGCGTGGTCCATTAGTTATGTTTACGTCAATGTACATTTGATGTATTTTAAGAAATCAAATTAAATAAAAAAATAATAATTATTATTCTTTAGATGTTGAATCGCAAATTTATTGCATATATAACTTTTATAATTTTCACCTTTTACATGACAAACCTTAAGGTAATTACCTTGTTCAATGCAGAACGGGATCCTGGTGGGATGCGAACATTCGACGGAGATGTATACTATATATTATATATATATTATATTGTATAATTGCAGTTCAGTTAGTGGCTCTACTCACAGGGCTATCTGGTCATGTTATAAAGTTTCGCTCGTAATAATATATTTATATTTAATTTTACGCAGGGTAGTTAAATTAATACATTGTTTTCATTAGGATTTTATGAAATGCCGAAAATTAAAAATAAAACGTCGGACATACGTACGACCTGATACGTCTAGAGCAGGGGTTCCCAACGTTTTCTTGTTTAGGGACCACTTTTATATTATTCTTGTTAGCATGGACCACTATGTAGGTATAATAAAAATAAACTGTAATAATTAAACTGAAACTTTAATTAAAAACTCAGTAAGAAATTACATAAAAAGAAATAATAATATTTTTAGGATAAACTTCTGTAATTTTATTATTATTTAGTATAGGTAGGTAGTTTACCGAACAATTTAGCACATATTGGTTCCACTTTATAGGTAGGCCATTTTTTGTACGGTAATTTTTCCCTTTTTTGCATAATCGGAAGCCTTTATTCTATCATATTTCACCTTAAAAAAGATTAAATATAAATAGGTACTTACCTTATAAGGTATACCTTATATAAAAATATATAATACCTATTATAGGTACCTATTATATTATACAAAGTGGCTATTTATTTATATATATATATATATACGTCCGACGCATACAAAATATAGTACAACTTTTGCTTTCATTTGCTAGTTTATTCACGTCACTGTCATGACTTACTTGACCGGCTTGTCAACAATGTGATTGTTCTATGATCCAAGCTTTTTAGTTTGTTGTTAGTGTATTTGTGGATTATTTCACTTATAATACGCGTTATAATAATTATTCATTCGCATAGAGGAAAAATTGAACAATTGTCATTTGTCATAGATGATGTATGAAACCTGTAACTGGCTAAAACTTGGTTGGTTGGGTTGGTTAGTTTAAGTTTTATTTACTTATTTTACGTAGTAGTAATAGTAATCACATTGTTGACAAGCCGGTCAAGTGCGCCACGTGAGTTACTAGCCAAGACGTATACCAAATTTTGTATACGTCGGATATATAAATAGCCTCTTCCTACATTATAATATACGTACTTAATATAATATATTATAACATATAAAAAAGTATTTAATTTTAGTCAAAATATAATACCTAACTACCTCTATAGGCATACAAACAAAGAAAACATGTACAAAAATTGGTACATTACCTGCCCTTCCTTAACCCAACTTGTAGGCAATACACACGTTTCCCGAGTTTCACTAAACTGATAAACAGTATAAGTCACCATTTTTTATCATACAAAAGTAGTTTTAACTAATTTTACTTCGCTACTTTCCACTATACTTGCACGTGAAATAATAGTAAACTGTAAAACACTAACAGTGTTTGTCATGATACAACAAACCATGGTGTTAACACATAACCTCACTAACAATCACGTCGCGCTGGTCACGCTCATGAGTTCTCTACTCACAAGGCAAGTTTTAATACAGATTCAGTACAGGAAACTGAACAGAATCTGTACTATTATATATTTATGCGTTACCCCTTCTATAATACAATGTAAATAAAGAAATGGGCCACAAATGGGGAAAAATAGTAGGTATCCATAAGTAAAGACTCAATATGCCCTTTGTATACATATAAATAGACTTAATAAAGTAGGCATATATTTTCCACAACAGTGCATATTTTTATCCAAGAACTTTACAGGACCTATACTAATATGTTATCGATAATATAACGATAATTTATATGTGCAATAAATGTAAATCATATACCTATTATATACAGGAAAAATATATACAGACAATGCTTTATAATCGCTGTACAGATTAAATAAAGCATATATCTGTAAAGGAAATATTTAGTTGTACTATAAATAAGATATATAGTTAATATCTTTATCGAGATACCTTTATAGCATATAAACTAATCTATATAGTTTACGAAAACCTTTATCCCTTGGTTATACGGGAAAATGAGAAAAACGCAAGTCAATTTTTCTGAAAATTTCCCAATTTTTATTCCGGAAGATAGTTTTTTTTGTTGGACTGAATAAGACTACTTAAGATTTGGGGGCCCTTCTGGACCGCCACCACCGCCGCCCCTTAGTCCGCCACTGCCTTTATACAAAGTGTATTTAAGTTCAATACATTTGAGTCAAATATAAAGATTTTCCACATTTAAATAAAAAAGGGTAAAATAAAATTTTTACAAAATTGTTTTTTTAATGGAAAACATTTAAATTTGTCTATGAACCTTTATGTTTATAAAGTATAAAAAGTGACATAACGCGTTGGTTTTACAACCAAAATTGCGTGCCTAAAGTAAACACAATTTTATCAATGGAAAAATTGTGAAAACAGCTCAAATAAAACTTTCAATGATAAATTTAAGTTGGCTAGATATCAAGGCCAATATTAACATAAAAATTAAAATAAAAAAATTATAAAATCATACATTTTTATATTACTGATAAAATAAAATTGTATTACTTTAAGTATCTATAGATATACCTACTTATTTGTATAGGTATGAAAAATGCCAAGTTATTTAAGATAGGTATGTAATGTTTATAAATATTCATAGAGTACTGTAACTAAATTTACACCGTGTAAATTACACCTAATATTTTTACCAATTTTATGATAATTTATACTTTTACAATGTACCTACAATACAGGGTGTTCTAAAATTGGGGTCCCAAAGGGTTAACCCTTAATAATAATTATGGGACTACCTACCTACTATTTATTCGAATTCAAAAAATATTCCCCTATTCGCCTCAACTGACAACACCGCAGTCTTTTTATCTATGCTAATAATTCTTATTACCTGTCCATTTTTGGTTAGAACTTGTCCTTGCAGAAGCCATTCCAGAAAAGGCTTGTGTATGTTGTACTTTTTTTATGTCTGCCTTTGCCTTGCTTTTGTAATATGTTTATCGATCGGTTACACCTTTTATCCAATTTTTCTTGTTTTTGTTGTAGGTAGGTTTGTTTACAACTCTTGTGCTTGCCCTGAAAATTAATATTCATGGTTGGAGTAGGTAATAAATATCAAACAATTAAAAATGTTTTAATTGGAGCAAAATTTGTTCAGTATATTATGATATTATGACATCAACAAGGTTCTTGTTGTTAAGTTAAAGCTCTTGTTCTCACGTGAATGTTATATTGGATAAAATCAATATTTAGGAATTAATAAAGGGCTGATGTAAATATTGAAATTCTTAACATTTGTTGTTATGTTCTTGACACTCTTTTGTAAAGTTTAATTTAACATTTTAACCGATCTTAACGAGGTTGCCATTCTTAATACATAATTTTCCACTTAATTTAAAGTATTTATTTCCTTGGGCTTTTGCCTGAACGAAATTTTATTAAAGCCACGAATTACCATTGTTAATTAACAATTTACCAACGTAAATTTGGGATAGTCAAAAAATTTCGATCAACCGAATTATTTATCTGGTATGCTGGGAAATTCCAACCCAAACGTGGAATATATTTTTCAAATTTGAGGTCGGTAGATATCAAGAAATAAATCGGTAGATTTCGGTCTTAAATCGGTATACCGATCTATAGATATATCTATCTATAATATCTATCTATAATAACTATAGTTATTATTATTATTATTATTATCATTATTAGTAAAACAAGTTAAACTTTTGCTTTCGTTTCATTTTTGTACAAACTTTTTTTACAAAATAAAAAAATATTTAAAAAATTAAAAACAAATATTTAAAAAACTGAAAAACAAATACCTATAAAATAAAAAATAAATATTAAACCTATATTTTCTAAAAATATAACATATTTTAATAATTAGCTAAAATTTATAACATATTATAATAATTAGCTACCATTGCAAGGAAATTATATTTTGTCACCTGTGATCAGATTGTGATTTGATTTTGTAGAATTCTGTACAATACTCTTCTATACTGTATCTATTTTATGACTTTTAAGTGCAACACTAAAATTTAGTGTCCATTTTTTTTTTAATTTCTGCAATATTTAGCGACATTTAATGTCGCTAAATATTGCAGAAATTTAAAAAAAATGGAGACTAAATTTAAGCAAACTAAATAACATGTATAACCAAATCGAATTATTGTATTTCAAAAATTTACATATTTAAAACCTTTGAAAAATCGGGATATTTTGATTTAGAATCGGTAGATCGGTACATCTATTCGAAAATCGGTAGATCTACCGATAAATCGGTAGAGGTGGCAGCACTGGTTAGAAGTTCTAGATGTCACATCGAGATTGAAGAAAAACTTTTTAAGAATGAAGTATGAATATTAAAAAAAATAAAGAACATATTTATTTGAAAATATTCAGTGTCGCTATGATATGAAATTGCATACACGTGTAAAATATTAAGTAATATTATTTATTTATAAATTGCTCATTTTCATTGATTGCTTTTTGTAAGTAAGTAAACCTTTAAAGGTTTAAATAAATTAAAAATAAATAAATTGTTAATATTGTTTACATAATTAAACATATATTGGTAAATAATTTATAATAATAATTATTATTATAAACTCAATAAAATACAAATAGATTTTGCCAAAAATGGACAATTCTAAAATACTATTAATTTGGTTACTTTATCTTTTATTAATTAAATTTCTATTGCAAATAAATTAGGTGGGTAAACAAATTTATGATTTAGATTGTGATCTGGCGTCTTAAATTATTATTGTCTAAGTCTAAGTAGATAAAAATTATATTTAATACCTACAATTAGTAGGCACCTACTAATTAGTAGGTATATATTATTGATTAAAAATTCAATCACGCGTAAGTATTTTACTAAATTGGATAGCGCATCCTCAAAGCTAACATAAAATTAATTAAGTTAAATTTTTTTAAACTCAAAACTCAATTAAATATAAAATACAACTGTAAAACTTTAATATTAAAAATATTGATTTTTAAAAATTTTAGTTCAAATATTTTATTCTACAAAATTTTTGGTTTAAATTTGTAAAGAGTCGTTTAAATGATATTCGGTAATTTTTAGTACATACAAACAAACATTCTTACATTAAATTTAAATGTAAGTTTTAAATTTTGAAGTGGTAATTTTTGGATTAAAAATGTATCGACTATCATTTAAATGACTCTTTACAAATTGAATCCAAAACTTCTTATTTTTAACGCCGTCTGCTAAAGCTACGTTTACACTTGAATAAAAAATTATCGACTTACATTTAAATGTTAAGTTATAAACTTTGTGTTAAAAATGTAACTATTAAAATTTGTTAAAAATAAAAGTTTTTGATTTAAACTTCTCAAGTCATTTAAATGATAGTCAATAAATTTTTAATCCAAAAATTACCGTTTTAAAATTTAAAACTAATAATAATTTTATAAAAAATTTAAATTTAAATTTAAATAATTATTTAAATTTACAAAATTCTGCCCAAATAAATTATACAAGAAATTATTTTTATTAAAAATGTTTGCAAAAATTGTTTGGAAATAATATTGTTTAATACAGAAGTGAAATGTTAGTCAGTAGGTAAATTTTGTCTTACAATACATGATATGATATCATTGATATCACTAGGTATATAGTGAAAATATTTTAAATTTATAAATGTAGAGGGCGCGAAAGTTAAGAAAAATAGTTTTTTTTATATTTTGACCCTCTAAAACTGATTAAAACTACTTAATAATGCTAAATAAAAAAGTTATAGATCTCAAAAATATCATTTTAAGAGCTTGTTTGATAGTAGAATACGCTCCTGATTTTTAAAGAAACACCCTCTATATTCAACATAAAATTTAATATTCCAAATAGGTCTCCAGAATAAATAAGGGATAAATAAATTGGTATCGATTTTACAGGAAGTGTGTGGAAGCTTTGCTATACTGATATGTATGTATATGTTACTAATACATATGTAGATAGTTTTTAAATTTAATAGGTATAATAAATTCTAAAAACAACACTACTCACAAATTATAAATTTAAATACCTACCTATACACTAAAAATAAACCACGGGTTCGACTATTTTTTATCACAAAAATTCACTAAAACTCCATAAAAACAATCAAATTAACAACAATTTCATTCACGAGTAACGTAAAAATCACAGTGTAATATTTTTAAAGCTATGCAGCGTGCAAGAAAAAATCGCGCCAGAAGTACAGACATCAGTTCAAAAGCGTAACCGAAACGGACTGAGCTGGCGCTTAAAGTTTTTGCTTTTAATGCGAATGGAATAGCACTGGGTGAAGAAGGGAGATAAAAAACTGCTCATACACTACATCCTTTTTCTATGCTACAGCGTAAACAGTGGTAATGTTACCGGCGGTAACTTACCGCCCATAAGATATAGAATTTGCGAATTTTGACTTTAAAAAATATGTGTTGTTTAAAAAAAAAGTTGTATTGGTACCTATTCCCGCCTCCCACCACAGTGCACCGAAATAAAAACATTCTATAATAATTCCTGAATGTTCTTATTTGAACTGTGTTACTTATTACATCAATAACTTGATAAAATCTTATAAATGGATGTTTATTGTTAAATAAATAATGTGTTACTGTTATTTTACACGGTTTTTGTCAATATTTAAACTGGACATTATGCTTATTATGCTTTTGAATTTTATTGGTTCTTCGTTTGTCTACTTAAATAATACTTAATTATCCAACTAAAAAAAAACTGAAAAATTATGGAAATTGTTTTATGTTTAATATTTATATTTTAACTATAATTACAATAGTTATTAAAATTTAAAAATAGTAGTTGGCTTTCCACAGATCAAGAAGACTAATTTGAGGAAGGGTGCCCCAAAATTAACGAGACAAACTTATACAGTGAAAAAAATATATTAATTTGTTTAATAAACAAGTATACTATAGTTATCCGTAAATGTTTATGTGCCCCTACCCAGCAAGTTAATTCTCCTATATTTAGTCTTCTTGCTATTGATATATTTATCTATAAGTAGATTTATCGCTGTATAATAAATATGCAAATTGTTTGAAAAAAATTAGGCTAATAGGTGCCCAATTTTAATTGGTTCATTCCAGAATATTATCATGGTTTTAATATTTTTTACTTTTGCTTCATTTTGATTATTTTTACTTTAAAATACGCAAAAGTCACACTTTGAAATTTATGTACATATTATAGTATTATTTTCAGAAATTAAAATAAAATAAATGTAAAACTGACAGATAGATAACCTCAATTATTTATATTAAAATGTCAAGGTGAGACTCAAGGATACATTGGACAGGATATCGTTGAAAAAGCGTGCTGAACTAAAGTTCTGGGCGGTGCTTTTTCGTGACGTAATGTTTTACACACTCTGTATATTTTTACATATTTTAAAAGACAAATTAAACTTTCTGATGAACCAAAGTATTATTTTATTTTAAAAACAATCAGAAAATGTAAGTGCCTATAAATTGTTTATTTTTAAGTTTAGGGTTGTTATGCAATAATAATTTGTTTTTCTAAATTAGATTGTATTTCAAGATAGGTATATTAAAATATTATTTTTGTGAATATATCGGAAACCCGACGTTCAAATATTTTTCTGTTTTTACAATTTTAATAAGAAGAAAAAATGCCACTAATTTGCTAATTTAATCGACTTTTTAGCTTCAATAATAACGGAGTTAGCACATTGTTGAAATATTTTCTTTTACGATTATTTAATCACACCCATTTTCAGGGTACCAACATGAAATTTTACATAATTGTTTAGTATTTTCCATTCAGGAAATTACAAAATATGCTAATACTCGGCAGTTCAATGACCCAAACAAATAGTTTAATATACGACATCGACTCATTCATTATTTATTAGGCAAATTTTAAAAATCACCCACCTTTTATCGACAACCTAAAGAGTAGGGGTTTTTGCAATCTCCAAAACTATCAACTCCATAGTATCAAGTCTTAATTCAAGACTATAGACGTTAATATATACCGAAGATACCTGCTGCAAGGCAGGTATGTAAATTACAAAATGCGGATTAATAAAAGTTGAAAACCTGAAATTAATTACACAACATTTTTTACGTCACGCTTTAAAACGCAATTAATGGAAATTTTTATAAAAAAATTGCGTCATTTATTATGCGATAAAAAATTCATAATTTGTTTAAAATTAGATTATGAAACTAGTTCACGATCGAATTTAGTCATTTAAGAAGTTTTATTACGAATAAAAGTACCAAGAACGACGCTTTTCTGGGGAATTAATCGAACATATGCAACCCGTAATACTAGTATGATGGCCACTCGTTTATCTATGAAAAAATGATCTTGATTGTTCTTAATTTAATTATCATTTTAACAGTTAACAATAGCGTAATTTAACATAATTCGTATTTATAGTGTTATAACTTAAACATTTAAATTACGTTCAAATTCCTTTTTCGTTGCAGTGCCATCTCTTGGTGAACGTTTTACCGTTTAAAAAGTGAGGTTTCTGTATTGCCGGCGGATTAGCGACGTTAATTAAATGTCAAATGGTCGAAAATGGCGTTGGTTTAGTGCGTTTTGGTTTTTTCAGTTTTTCAGATGGTTTTTCGCACGGATTGTTTCTAAATAAATGGGCGTGTGATTGGAGAGAGAGGCCTTTAGTTTGTCGTGCTTACGTTACGTAAAAATTAGACTGAGAATCTCGATAAAGTAAGTAAAATCAAAAGACGCTACTTGTTCAGGATGCAGCAGCAGCAGCAGCAACTGCAGCAGGACGATGCGGCGTCGCAGCTGCAACAGCAACAGGGAAGTCCGGCAACGATGGGGGCCCCCTCAGGCGGGGTCGTGCTGTCGGAAAGCGAAATTTCCTGCTTGACCGCCACAGAGTGGGGTCAGAAATGGCGCCAGCAGGAGGTTTACGTTGCCCTGCTGGAACGGAAGCACACGCAGCAAGAAGGTACTGTTTGTTATTAATCTCACAAAATCGTATAAAAATTAGTGTGTCGGCGGAAAGTGCAGTGTGTGCAAATTGCAGGCGAGCTGCTCGAGCTCAGGCAGCAATCGGAGAGGGTCAGGCTGCAGCTGCAGGACTCGCAGCAGCGGGAGAAGGTGCTCGTCCGCAGGCTGACCGCCAAGGAGCAGGAGACGCAGGACTACGCGGTTAGTACCCCAAAGTGGCAACTCAAATGTTCTTTCTTAACCTCGTTTGTGCAGTGCAGTTTGTTGATAAGTTCGATAAGTCTTCCAAATTTATACGCCTCAACTTGTGCTGCCGAGTTACCATAGTTACTTTATACGCATACGATTTTTACGCGGTGTTCTTAATTATAAGTGTGTGCTTTACAATTTTCCAACTGTTGATTCTGTTGTTTTATTTACTGTTTGGTAAAGTGATCAACTTTGGTTTTAAAGTGTTCTGTGGGGTTAAAAGTGTGATTTTTTCATTTAAATCACTTGTGATAAATTACAACAATATCTAACATTTTTTGCACCATTTAATTTTACAGGGTGTTACGACAATAGGTTTGTTTAAACAATAGGCCCAAACTGTCTACAACCATCACGCATGCGCAATAAGACTAAAGTCATACTGCGCAAGCGTCTGACAGTTTAAGGCAGTTTCGGATTTTAGTAGGAACAAACCTAGTAAGTACTGTAACAGGTAATTGATTATATCGATGACTTTCTGCCAAAGTATCGCAAGCAATATAATCAAATTTCGGGAATTGAAAACATTTTTTGTTTTAAAGTCTGTTTTAAACCATAATATAATATATATAATCTATATGTTTTATAACAAATAAATAGCTATAATTATAAGCTAAGTAATTATGTGTGGGCTATATTTAATTTAAAACAGATAAGCAAAATGTTTTCAATTCCCGAAATTTGGGTTATGTTGCTTGCGATACTTTGGCAAAAAGTCATCGATATGTCCCTGAAGAAGTCAAATTTATTTACTCCAAAACGCCTTTACCAATCTTTATAAAATTTTGTATAAAAATACTTATATCTCAGTTTACGTGTTCGAGGGTTTTTCGAGAAAATATTTTTAAAGCCCTTCTATTTAATAATAAAAAAAACGTTCGAAAAATAACTTTTAGGGAATTTTTTTTAAGTAAATAAAAATTATGCTGTTAAAGACCGTATTTTTGTTAGTATACCATGAAAAATGAACAGTCGGTAAAAATGACCTTTTTTATTATTTTGCTGAAAAGCGCTGTATACTAACAAAAATACGGTCTTTCACAGCATATTTTTTATTTACTTAAAAAAAAATCCCTATAAAAGTTTTTTTCAGACGTTTTTTCTTATTTTAATAAAATGGCTTTAAGGATATTTTCACAAAAAACCCTTAAACTATACTGTTCCTTTGATTTGTACAACATTTTCAGGGTATACTAACAAAAATACGGTCTTTCACAGCATATTTTTTATTTACTTAAAAAAAATTCCCTATAAAAGTTTTTTTTCAGACGTTTTTTATTATTTAATAAAAGGGCTTTAAGGATATTTTTTCGAAAAACCCTTAAACACGTAAAATGAGATATAAGTTATTCAAAATTTTATAAAGATTGGTGAAGACGTTTTAGAGTTGGATTTTTTTACTTGTTATGCGTTAATTTTGACGCGCATTGTATTTTACATCTGACAACATTGCTGTAAATCTGAAAACAGACTATAAAGTGACGTAAAGCTAAAAGAAGTTTATATCGGTGAGATTAAAAACAGTGACTACAAGTCAAAAAAATTTATTTAAAAAAATCAATTTAAAAGTTTAAAATGATTTTTGGGAAAATATATAAATCATTTAAAAAAGATATAGTTCTGAACTATAAAATTGATTTTACGAAATAATTTGTCAAAATTTTGACTTTTGGATTGGTACTGTTCTTAATCACCGAATTAATTAGGTATTACATCGTGAATTTCACAATAAGTATACCTAAACTATTATTGTTTTAATTAAAAAACACTTTTTTCTTAATGCAAACCTTCAAAATGTTTTTATACATACATACATATTAGGTGATTAAAAAAAATCTAATATTTTTTTTACCTTGGACCATTCCATTTTTTCTTTAGTTCCTTATAAAAAGACCATATTTCATTATTAATCAATCGTTTAATCAAATTTTTATATATATTTTTGTAGGAAATTGAATGCTCTACAAACTATTATATAATAAATTCTTCAAACTTTTATCTTGAATATCTTTTAAATGGTAATCGATAAACACATCAGTCCTTTTTTGTAGAGCATTCAATGTATTACAAAAATGTATGTATACAGATTTGATTAATAATGAAATATGGTATTTTTTATAAGGGACTATAGAAAAAATGGAAAACTGTGATAAGGATCTTCCTATTAATATTTTTTAATTTTTCAGTGTCAGAAGAAAAAAATATTCGTTTTTTTAATCACCCTAATACATATATTATTTAGCACAACATTTAACTCAAACAACTTTATTTTAAAAACAAAGCAAGATTTAAAAAATAAATAAAAAATTGTTTGCTTTTCTGGTGATATATATATGTATATGCCTATTAAAGTCACAGTAATAATTTCCGTAACACCCTGTATATTTGGTACCTAACATTTACTTCTAGACATCTAGTTATAACTAGACATAGATGTCTAGAAGTAAATGTTGGAGATAGAAAAAATACCAAAAATAAACAATTATTTTTATTAAAATACCTAATACATTTAATAAAATTGTGTCATAACTAAAAATTAAACATAATAATAATAATAATAGGATGGTGATAAATATTGAAATTATTAATACACTGCAATTATCATTCAAATTTTTATAACATGTAGGCAAGTATAAAAATATATTTTTTGTATTATTAAATTAATATAAGAAATACCGTTGGCAAAATTATAGAAAAACACCCCCAGGTAGATCACTTTACCACCAAACAGTATAGTATAAGTTGATGTTACATAAGTGTGCAGTTTAATGTAAAATTTGTTATTACTTAGCAAATAGGCACAAAAATGTTGAATGTGATATTATACGGACTTGAAAAAAAATTGGTTTTAACCAATAATAATAAAGACTGAGGACTTGAGTTAAGAACATTTGGGTGTTACTCTGTATAAACAATTTTTACTTTGTAATGTTGTCAACATATCTGTGATCGATTTTCTGCAGTGATATACTTATTTAAAATATAAAATAAAATTATTATTATTATTCAGATATATTTTAATATTATAATTAACAAAATGAAACAGGTAAAAATATTTATATAAAATCACAAAGTTTTGTTATTGAATGGTAAGTTAATTTTCTTTTATACATAAATGTCTTATTTATTTTTATGAAACAATTACAAAACAAAAATACCAAAATTTACATACATATTTTAAAAGTTTTGAAAGCCGTTTTAAAGTTATTCTTAAAAATGCAAATTATAATAATTATAATTATTATAATAAGTATTAGTACAATTGTTTCAGAAAAATTTACGAGATAAATTATAAATAAAAATATACAGGGTGTTTCCGAATTCCATCCAAAAAAAATTGCCATTTTCATATTTTGAACTTAAAATGTTTTAATGGAATTCGGAGTCACTCGGTATATTTACGTTTCCATGTTATATAACATGTTATACATCGCAATTTTTTCGGATAGAGTTTAGAGTAAAAACACTATCAAAAATTGGCAAAAAGTTATACAGAGTGAATTCTTTCATGCATGTGTATCTTTTTTCTATTAAAATTGCATTTAAAAATTGCGAAAAAACCAGCTCAAATAATTTGAAAAAACTGAAAATCTATCAAAACCAAAAATCGTTATAACTTCGGTATTCCTAGGATTTTTGAAAGAAAGTAAGTTTACCATGTAAACATACAAATTTATCCACATTGTATGAAATTATTGAATTTTTTCGTCTACAAGATTTGAAGATCGATTTGGAGTTACCACCACCATCTTTTGTTTTTTCTATGGTTAGATGTAAAAAAATCAAGGAATCCAACGACGTATCAAACTACATAACTTATATCGACCATTATAAAATAAATAAATAACAAAATAAGAAAATTCTCCATTTGAAAAAAAATCTTTTATTTTCTATAGAAAAACAAAAAAAAATCAAAATTAAAGTATTTAGGAGTAAGATGAAGAACTGAATCTTAAAGGGCATTTTTTTTTCGATATGTATAAATATTTTGCTTGGGAGATTAAAATTGAAAAAAATGTCGACAGCGTTTTTGGAAAATGTTTAAATTTTTTTTATATCATGTTTTGAAGGAACATTTATTTTTTGTTATCTTGTTTTTTAATTAATGTTGATGATAATTTCAGTTAATTATTTACAATTTATATGAAGTCGGAGAAGAAAGTTTGAAATAATACAAGGTGTCCCAGAACTCGCGACACAGAGAAATAGGGAACGTGCCGAAATTTATGCGAAACACATACTTGAAAATAAAAATTATCTAACGCAAAGGATGAGCGATATAATAATAAAAAACTATAGCAAATCCATAGGGCACTCATTGCTAGAATACTTAGGATGCATTGTTGATATTATATTATGTATTTGGTCGACTGGAATCCACTTCATTGTGAATCTGCTGTCAATTTTTGTTTCTGTCATTATTTATTATTTGAAGTTATGTTTTCCTCCTAAGATTATAAATATATATTATTATACGGGATAATAATGTGCATTATCTCGAGTGTAAAACTATACTTTATCTACTCAAATAAGTAGATAATTAAATGATTTTCAAAAAGAAATATATAAATCTGTCAAATGGTTAAACTTGGGCCCTTTTTACCAATTTTAAATGTAACTATAGTCGCCTTCTCCCAATTTAAAACCCGATTGGTTCAAATCACAGTGAATATTGAAATCGGCCAATCAATGATTCCTAACAACGTGAATAATGAGGTCATTATTCACGTTGTTAGACAGGGAATTCATAAGGGGTCATCCATTAATTACGTGAGGTGTTTAGGGGGGGGGAGGGGGTCGAGCCAAACCTCACTCAATCTCACGTGGGGGGAGGGTGGTCTCGGCAAATATTACGTAATTTTTTTTTTCGAAAGAAACAGTGTAAAGTTGCGAGAAAACGAGGGTTAAATTAAGTAAAAAATTATAAGCAATTTGTTTTTTTATAAATCTAA